GTCTAGTGGAGGTGCCAAACATCCCTGCAGAGACTAATACACAGCTGTTGACTGACCATGAATGCACAGTTGCCGGGGCACCATGGTAGCTCACCTGGTAGAGCTGGCCCCCATGTACCCTGGCTGAGTCCTTGCTGCAGCAGCCATGGGTTTGACTCTGGCCTGTGGCCCTCTGCTGTGTGTCATCCCCTCTCTTTCTCCTACTTTTCTGTCTATTTTTAGGTGTCCTGTTGAATAAAGGCAAAATGCCCTACATAATTGCTACCATCGCAAATATAACCCTTACCGTTCTTTTGTTTGTACAATGATATTATAAATTGCGTCTGTGTGCAGGTGCGTGTGTGCCCACTGCCCACGTAAAGCCCATTTACCAAATATAGCTCATAATCTGGGTAGATTTTATGCTGGAATGTACGACAGATGTCGATTAGCCTAGCATTAATGGAGACCACCTAGTGAGTAATGGCCTCCATCTATCAGTGTATTTCAACATTTTAAACTCAGGGTGGCACCACAGCTGAGACACACACACCATTGCTCTGTCACATACTGAATTATGCATGTGCTCATGGTGTTAAATCAGGGCTCTGGAGAGACAGAGATGGGTGTTAGAGAGAGAGGAAGTGAAGAATCAGGGACGAGACGAGGCAGAAAGTAGCAGGTTGTGTGTGTGTGTGTGTGTGTGTGTGTGTGTGTGTGTGTGTGTTTGTGTGGGACTTAAAAGAAAGCTTCAGAGACAAAAAAAAAGGAGGGGGCTCCCTCTGTTGTGGTCTCTCTGCTTGTTATGTTGATATGCTGGGTTAAAAAAAATTAAAGGTCAGGGAAAAAAAACAAATCACATGGTTGAAAACACATTGTCAAACCTAACCCCCAGTGACATTTGCAGATAGTGGGAAAGGACAGCCTGAGTATTTGGCCAGACATTACCATTTCCTCAGAGATAGATCAGACAGTGGTAGTAACAAACCAATGTGAGCCATCTTTAATTGCCTGCCTCCAGCTCCGGGTGACAGAATAAGCAATTTTAAAGCATGTGTGTGTCTATTTGTTTTTGTTCCCATGTATGTGTGTGCCCCTGTCACAAAGGCTAAGTACTGATCTGAAGGGTTATGCAGATTAAGACCTGAACCCCATAACCAATTGGAATTAATCAGAGCTGGGGATTGGGGCCGGAGGATAATCTCACTGTTTAGATTGGCTGTTCTTCCTAAACATCAAAGACATGCTGCCCAATATGACAGAATCATACTGACAGATAAACCAAAAGCCTCTCTCTTCATCAGCAGTGTGGTGCACGCGGGAGGGACTGCTGATGATGATGATGATGATGCTGACATAATGTTCCCAACCCTACTGATGCAAGCAAAAATCAAATACCATGTGAAATACACTGTCTATGAAATTCTCTGTCGCACCTCTTTACCTCTGTTATTTAAATATACACGCACATTCTCAGAGGGCAACTGGGTGTGTGTCCTATCCATCCCATGTCAGCAAGATTACTTCCTCTGGGCAATGATGTAACGTAACAAGGGCCGACACTATCGCTGCACTGTGCTTTCTTGTTTGTGAAGTGAGCAGTCAGGCCCCTTTGCTGTTGTTGGTGAACACATGTGGGAGGGAGAGAGGAGAAAGGGGGCACTGATGCACGGTTTACTTCTGTATGACCTCTCTGGCACAAGAAAAAAAACATCCACTCTCTATGGTCTCCTCACATGCTACGGCAAAACAGCCTTGTAACAGAAAGGCTTTGCTAGCTATCCATAATGTGTTTTGTTGGTGGATTAAAGTGGAGGAATCAAAATATCTAGCCCAGATTTATGCCGAGAGCTTAACCCTCAGAACCAACCATTCCAGAGCTAAATCCCCATTCCCCCAGTCATCTCGGCAGAGAAAAGAGAGAGAGGGAGAAAGTGAAGGAAGGAAAGCTTTAATGGGGGAACAGGAGTAGAGAGGTATCAGAGAACAAGGGAGGAGGAAATCCGAGCTCTGTCTCTGAGCAACGCTCTGCATAGCAGGGAGGGAAGGGAAGACACATGGGAGGGAGGGAGGAAGGGAGGGAGG